CACTAGATCGTATAGCTTAATGCAAGGAAATTTGTATTGATTTAAAATTTGCGACAATGAACTAAAGTTTTAACTTCTCTTAATGCTATCTAACTTGTCACCAGGCCGGTGTTGGGTCAAATCGACCACCATTGTAAAATATAACAAGGCACACCTGGGGCCTGGCACGGTACGAAGTAAATATAACCGTGTATTTCACCAGTCCCCCCTGAACCCGGAGACTCTCCGTGTTCCAAACTTTTGTACCAAAAATCATTTTTTTGAAATCCGGAGATTCTCCGACTTAAATCGGACCTGTAAATGGGTTAAGTACCACGATACTTAGCGGTAGGATTTCGTAATATGTTTCGCATGCGTTTGCTAGAAAAATAAAAACTGTCATACAGCATAACATAGTATAATACTTACAAACATACAACCAAGAAAGTCGCCTACGGGGTTCATTATGATTACAATCAAAGGGCGCAGGCTAGTCTCTGAGCCCCGTAGCATCACAACTACGGAGGCGCAGTCCTCAGGTGCACAAGTTATACAGCAACAGTGCATCGTGTACATGCAAGATGTTGCATTACTTTCAGACGTGAGGATCTGTGTAGTATGTAATAACCCTGCTCATGGTAGCTGTAGTAATGAGAAGTTTGATAGAACAATTGGAGTGTCTCAATTTACCTGCAACATATGTCTAAACTGTATATTTTGTAATCAACCAACGTCTGCTGCACATGCATGCGCGATCTGCGATCGATCACAACATTAGGTGTTCTACTAGTAATCCACAACACGAAGGATTTGGAGGGTTGGTTGTTTTCCATGCTTGTGGGAGTTTGGAAGAAGGTGTCAGCATTTTACAGCAATGGGGTGTATTGGCAACAGAGCAAACAGCAGATACAACCAGCGCAATAATAGGTACGTGCACGTGCATTCTGCGGCATCTGATTCAAGGGTATACTTTCAATCTACTTCGATATTTTTGTATTTTTATGATTCTTGTATGTTTATACATGCAAGTACATATAGTGTGCGTGTATGTGTGTATGTGTATGTGTAT